TAATTATAATTATATATTATATAATGTATGATGGAGTTAAAATTTTTTAGAATGAAATGTAAAACAATCTTTGAGCAACTATTTCCATCATAATCTGTAAGTTTTTCACCAATCTACAATATTATATCAATATATTATATTATTATATAATATAATTACAATTATATATTATATTATTTATTATATATTATATATAATAATAATGTTTTTTCAGCTTGAAACGAATGAAGAGATGAAGCAAAATTTACAAATATATATGGTGTCAACATTAACATTAACAATTATTTATAAGATATGAATTACATTTCTAATGTATCCAGCATTAAAATTACTTCCCCTTTTAGGTAAATTCCACTTTGAACGGATTTAGAATATTTTTTCTTCGTCGAATCTACGTTTTGCAGAAAGTTGAAATTCGCTTCTTCCTTTTTCATTATTCGTGCAAGAAGCGACAGTTTGACTCGATGCCAATAAAAAAAAAACTAATACAATCGCTGGGATGCACGAGAATCAAGTGAATATGTGAAAAAAATATCTTTACAACTTACATATCTCTTTAAACTCATAGTTCATTTTCTTATTTTTTATTTCTTGCTGAAAATCGTCTTTTCATTGAATTCCATATTTTTCAGGATCCAAGTTAGATGGTTCATTCAAGAGAATCCCTTAATTGGAGGAAAAGCACAATAGTTTATCCCAGTCTACGGATAATCGTGCTAATTTCAACCTGGAAGATATTTCTTCTTCTCCCTGCACGAAGTTCCACGCGTCGAATCGCCTCCAGAAACGCCACTGCACACGTTGCAATCGTACTCCAAGAATCGATCGATTGAATCGGATTCGCTCATAGAATTGGAATTCCACGTTTCTCGTCATCCGAGTCGTATTACATTCAACAAGTTGACCAACTATCGATATTCGATAGCATAACACGTCAATTTTCTTCCATCGATGCCTGTAAACGAAATGCAACACCGGAAAAATTTAATATCGGAAGTTACGAATAAAGTTACTTCGATAATTTATCGTTCGAAGCGTAATAATAATCACAATAATAATATTGTATATAGAGCTTACTTTAATAAGTAATTACTAATTTGAAGTAACTTTATTCGAAATTTTTAATTTTTTCAACTACGGGTTAATAATGCCGAATTCTGGCGAAAAATCG